TATTTTTCTCAAATCAAATGTAATATTGTATTATTTTTTTTATACGTGCGAGGATGAACTAATACGTGAAAAAAATATATGAAACTTACACGTGCGACGGTCACTGCTAACGTGCACTGGGGAGATGTTGTGTCACCCAACCGTTTTCACCATCAACGTTTTTAATTTTAATTGTCGTGTATGACGGAAAAATAGGATTGTTCAAGCAATAAGGAAATGACACATGGTCCTTTCCCTTTTCTAAACTTCATGAGGCCGCTTGCTTGCGTGCACAAGAAAGAAGTTGCCGTGCGTTAGGCGTGGGGTAGGGGAAAATGCTAGGCAAAATAAATTGATAATTAAGGCCAACAAGACTATATGTTTGGTGGATAATAGTTTGCGCCTCTCTTATTTTTCAACTCACTTTAACTATATTGGTTAAATCTTTAACTATTGTATAAATTTTTGATTTGATCCTTGAACTAAAAAAAGTTTTGATTTGGTCCATAAATTATTGTACAAACTTTTGATTTGATTTTTGAACTAAAAAAATTTTTAATTTGGTCCCTAAACTATTGTACGAACCCATGATTTGATCCCTATTATTTACCAATTTACCTCAAATTAGTCTTTTCGTACAAAAACCAACTGACATGTCTTGTTATAAACTTGACACGTGGCTGTTAAGGTACTGTTTTTTATCGTTAAGTAATAGACACGTCAATTGTTTTTGTACGGAAAGACCAACTTAGGGCAAATTGGTAAACAGTAAGAGACCAAATTGGGGGATCCGTATAATAGTTTAGAGATCAAATCAAAGATTTTTTTAGTTAGTTTACCTGACACGTGATTGTTCTTTAGTACATTTTTACTTATCTTTACTCCAACTTCTAGTTAGTTTTTCTTGTAATTCAATCTCTTATCATATATTTGGTTGAGAAGAATAGAGAAGAGGAGAGTGAAGGCAAGGGAAAAGTTTTTTGACCAATTCAATCATAATATTTTCAAAACGTTATAATTTGATTGGTTAAAAAACTTTCTCCACCTTTTTCCTCCATTCTTCTCAAACCAAGTATACTATTAACTTCAACATCACAATTTATTATTATATTTATCTCTATATCAAGCACTCACCATTTATTTCCTTTTCTGTATTAGTATTTTATTTGTTTTTATTCTTTTTTAATTATCATTCATCTTTATTATTTTTTATCAATCATTTCTTACATCCCAATATATTGCTATATCTCTTTTTTTACCCATTCTTTTTCTCTCTTCCCTTCTCTATCTTAAAAATGTTTTATGTTAAAACATATAAGCATAGCTTTCTAGCATTATTATCTTAGTACATTTTCACTTGTTTTTACTCCACCTTTCATTACTTCTCATAGGATTTCATCTCTTAACTCACCACTCAAATTTTATCATTATATTTATCTATTTAGTTTACACACACCTCACTTTCCCCTCTCTATATTAACAATTTGTTTGTTATTATCATTTTATTGAGACTTCATCTCTCATCTACCACCTTACCATTTTATATCATTATATTTTTTTCTCTATCTTACATATTATTCTTTCTTTCATTATACTCCTATCTCTATGTTTTTTCTTAATATATTCTTTGCATTTCTATATATATATATATATCCTCCTTTTTACCTTGTTTTTTTTTTTTTAATTTCCACATGTTTTTATTAAAAAAGTTTTATATCAAAAACATAGAAGGGGCAACTTTTTGCGATCATATTTGTGTGTTTTCTCTACAATCCTCTTCTCTTGGTTACTCATGGCAAAATTACTCAAATGTGCCACTTGCTTGCTGAAAAGGATTTTTGGTAGCCCATACTTCTTCCAAGTGTTGGAACTTGTTTAAGGGCTCATTTGGCTTGCAAAAAATGACTTTATCTTGAAATTTTTTTTTTAAAAAAAAAATTATTTTCTATTGTTGGAAACACTTTAAAAAACTTTTTAAGGAAACTAGCTTTCTATTGTTTGGTAGCTAAGGAAAATGCAGCCACGTGAGTGCTGTCTGGGAATAAAAGATGCTAGATTTCTTCCACTACAAGGACCATATTGAACACTACGGAAACTAATAGAACTTGTTTATGTTGCTCAATAAAGTAAGAGGACGGAAGTGGCAATAGCAGCAGCTTCGTATGACAGAAATTTCGGGCCCGACGGCCCATGTGTTTTTGGAGAAATTAACTTCCGGATTTCAAATCCGTAAGTCAATTTCTGGAAAATCAAGCTTAGTTTTTTCCGTTGACCAAAGTTTATTTTCCTTTACTCATTTTCTAAAGAGTGACTAAACCGCAGAAAATACAAAAAATAATTTTCAGAAATCATTTTTTGACTGATCAAATGGACTCTAAAAAGTCAATGGAAGCATGCTGTTTGATTGAAAAATTACACCAAATATACCATAATTAGATGATTATAACATAAATAATTGTGCATTCTTGTATGAAGGTTCAAAAAATAATTGTTTTGAAAGAATATTAAAAACTTCTCACATTTGAAGTTACTATGGAATTAGTTTGATAATAAAAAAAAAAGGTAGAAATAGGAAAAAGAAAAAAAAGTGATAATGACATAAATAAAAGATAATATAAAACTAAGGTAATATTAGAACATTAAACTAAAGAGTATTAAAAGTCTTAAATTTAGTTAAAATTAAAAACTAAAAATACTGATAGATTTGAACTAAAGAGTGTGACATAATCATAGAAGTTACGTACCAGTAAAAATGTAAATCGAAACTAGCATAAATGACAGAAAGATTAGGCAAAAATGTAAAGGGCAATGAGATAAAATGGAAATTAAATTATCTGCAAGAACTAAACATAAAAATGCTAGAACAGTAAAGAACTACCTACATCTAGAAGTCAAATGAAACTAACATCTATCCTCCAAAACTTAAGAAGAATTACAATCGAATGCAGAAACATAAATTAGTTAACAAAGCAAATGCTAAGGTTAGACAACTAGACAAAAATATAAATTACATAGAAATGCAAAATTTGCCAGCAAAAGAAGAGCAAACATGTCAAATTTAATTGCTTGAACTGACTTAACCATAACCAACAAAAACAAAGAACTCGTTGATAGAGTTAAACCTTTTTTACACTAACAAGAAATTGCAAAGTTGCTATAGAAGCTATTTATGAATGAAATTAGCACTGGTCTAAGATACATTGAAATGTTCATTTGTGTAAAAGGGACAGGCCTCTTGAACTTTGTGTAGAAGTCTTGTAGTTATAAGCCTCCGCAATTAACTTTGTTTATCAAAAATTTAATTTGATTATGATTTTCTTTGACTTTCATACCATCATGCTTGACTAAATCAAAAAAATTTTAACAACTTTAAATACTTCCTTATAAAACAAATTTACAATACTTGTCAATCTAGTTGTTAGAAACAAAATTCTATTCGTCAAAAATCCCTAAAATCATGCTTGTTGAAACCATTTCTAATTTTTCTCAACTAAATTGGATTATTTAACATCATACCAATAACATCCCTAATTTTCTCAAACCTCACTCGGACTCAAATTCTATCGCACTCAAAGTTTATTTAATTTGGATTTCTGCCACATGGCAAAAATTCACGACACCATAATTTCTCTTTATTATGGATTGCACTGCACTAAATCAAGACTATCAATCACCTTTTAAATTCTCAATTGTATGGATAAATTTGTTGCCATTAAATCTTCATTATGGATACATGACATCATAAAAAAAAATTGTCAAATGTGGTGTGAACAGTATGTATATATTTATCCAAAAAAACAGAAAAAAAGTAAGTACATAAAAATAAAAAAATCCTTTCATCTCTGTTTTCTCACTTACCCTTCTATTTCTTCTGCCTTCATCTAAATTGGACCTTGACTTTCGACAAGTGTTAGTATCAATTTGGGACCCTAGCGCATTCTGCAAAAAGCACATGCCTATATCGAGACCCTAGGGCTTAATTCAACACCTTGGTCCGGATCAGGCCGACATCACAGAGCAACCAGACAGCCCTAGACAAAATTATCTTTTTCTTTGGCTGGAGAAAAAGGGTCTATCATTAGTTATTGTGTTTGTTGGTCCCCATCCAAAAGTTGAATCAGCATTTAGAAAGCCAGAAACACATTATAAAAAACTGTGTTTAACCCACTTTCAACTATTGCAACAGATAAATTGCTTTCAGATGCTGGACCAAGTTAGAATACAATGTTGAAAGAATTGGAACGTGATCCATAAATTTAAGAATGCATTTTTTATGGAACTTGATAAACCAATTCTTATACATCAATAACCATGCATAACATAGTGGTACACAATAAAATTGCGCCGAACATACTGCAACATGCTGTAACCTCACTATAGGTGGTATCATATTTCACCGCCTTGGTGTGGGCAATGGGGATTCTTTGATTGGTCATATAAAGGATAATCCAGTCTCAAGGAGTTCACATTTCCTCTCTACATATGTACTTCCAACCTGCATTGGTCAATAGTGAATTAGTCAACTTCCTGAAGAAGAAAGAAAAACAAAAGAAAAAAGGCACAATTACCATACATCCGATCAATATTATCAAAGAAACTTAATTATTGGTGTATGCTAAGAAACAAAATATTGAGCTGAATAAATGATCTACCGTAAATTGATAGAATTTCAGGTGTTTCTGAAAATTTTCAAGGAGACAACTGTCTTTAGGAATTTTGGTTGTGTTCATCTCATTGTTGACTTGATCATGTCACAAGTTCAACTCAGCTTTTTTTTTTTTTTTGAACTAACTAGGGGAACTTTTGGGGGAGAGCGGGTATAGGACTTGAAACTCTATTTTCTAAGAGCAAGAACTGGGGAACAAGGTGCACCAACTGGGGCTAAACGGCCAAGTGCCATTTCAGCTTTTTCAGATATCCAAACACTCCAAAAATGGAACCCTAAAATGTACCTTCCAAGCAAAGTCAAGTAACTAAGATGTAACAAAACCACTTTAATTTTTTATTTACAAGCATCAGGGACTAAATTCAATGAAAATGGGTAGCTCATTTGAATCAGGAAAACAGAATTGAAGAATGAAAACCAGAACTTTGAGTTGCATGCAGAAATATTGAAATGGCCGAGTACTGGATATTGTCCAAAAGTAGTACCTTTTAGCTTTGAAAGCCTATCAAAATTATACAATGACGCTTTCTGTTCCACACCTACAAGATCAGCAATCCAAGAGCACAGTGAATTCATTGCCAAAATTAACAAAACTCATCTAGCAGGCAAAACTCACCATTTTTTTCATTTTGCCAAAATATGTTTGAACCATAAAACAACCTCAACATTTTGCACAGATTGGTAAATATTCAAACTGATTATGGATGATATGAGAATTATAGGCTATTTAATTGCACTTACAAGTGAAAACATCAATCAATGGGGTGTTTGTCTGCCTGGCGAGATGTATAATGTGCAGAAAGCAAAAGCAGAGAAAGGAAAGCACTGGCTACAAATATTGCATCAAACCATCGATGGTAGAAGTCAAACTGAATATCTCCACCCAATACATTTGTTATTATTGACCTGCCAAGAAATACCATTTCAATCAATTAAAAGGACCCGGTTTAAATCCAACACCAAATACAGAAGGCTGTACATAAGATGAATAATGACATTAAACAGCTAGTGTTTTCTGTTGGCATATATTGATGTTGGCTAAATTATTAAAATAGCTGATAAAGCAGAAAACAGCAAACAACCTTAGTCCTTAGTAGATGAAATTATGAAAAGAAGCATATCAACTCAACTCGTATGAAGTGATGAGTTCAAATGCTTGGTTGAACACAGTAAAAGATGAAGAGCAGTACTTACTAACGATAGAAGTAAAGTTTAGGGGCTGCTACTCTATAGTTTTGTTACTTCCTAATTCATATAATCATATTACTAGTAAGTCTACCAGATTGATATTCATATATATCAGTCAAAGAAAAAGTTTCTCCGCTTTCCTATAAACGGAGGCCAGTTTTGTGCTGCTTTATTTAACATTTTAAGGATTGGTAGGGAGTAAGAAATGCAAAGCACTTCCAATGATAAAGCAGGTTTATTAATAGTGGATAGCGGCCAATAGCAGGAGGAAAATTCTACCATGATAGAGTAGCAGATCGTGTAGAGGCCGCTATTAACAAAATAGCTGCCATTAAAAAATTATATAAATATGTGAAAATTTGACATGTGGGCTTCTATTACATGATTTGCATCCAACCTAAAACCAATTAGCAATAGGTGGAGCAGCCTTCCTTGCATTTAAGCCACATGTTTCTTTGTTATATTCTCAATGTTGGATTTTCCTACTCAACAAAATATAGTAACTAAACAGAACAACCTACTTTTTTTATTAAATAAAATAGCAGATCTAATAAAAAAATGCATAAGATGAACTTAATAACATAAAATAAAAATTAATTAACTTAAGGGTTAGCATTAACAAACCAATAATGCAACACTTATGAGTACATTCTCTCTCAAATTTTTTACTTTTATAAGGAATATTTGTTTCACTTTGTTTGTTACAGGTTTGTGGCCGTCATCAAAATTCACTACACTATGGTGTTTTCATTGCAGATTGCCCTAAAGCTGCTATGGTATGCTGCTATAGTGGCTGCTATTGACAACACTATGATAAAGTGAAATAGACCAAGAGTATTCAACTTAGGGGGAATAACATTACTGGTTTGATCCTCAAGACAGTCTTTAACTGCCATAAGCTTTAAAACTTCTGTCCAATCCTTCCCTTATTTTTCAATCTAGGTAGCAGTAAGAGATGAGATGCTTGCTAAACGTGAATATAATTAACACTTACAAACCATGCACCCCTCCAAAAACAAATCTTAAAGTTCATCTTTCGTTATTGTGCAATCTTTTTTAGCACTCTTCTTTATTATCAACGGAAGTTAGAGATTGAGTAAAAGGGAAAGGAAAGGAGGCTTTAGTAAACTGAGAAAACTATGCATGGCAGGATGATTAATTGAGGAGTGAAGTAAAGGTTCTTTCAGCTCTCTTTTAGCAGCTCCAAACCCCTTAGAAAGACTTGTCAGCAACTTAACTCATGCAACACTTAAAGAAATATCTGAGAAGGATCTCTCCATTACAACAGGCAGAAAGGAAAATTGGCAGGGTTGTATCAGATCAACTTGCCCTGTAGTTCATTTAGGGTAATGTGGTCAATTTACCACATGACCAACCTGACAGGAGAAGTGTATAAATCAAACTATTTATATTGACTGTCTTCATCATTTTGTCCTTCTCTTTTACCTCCTCCGTGCTCTCTAATCACCCACCATGTGGGTTGCAAAGCAAAGCAAGTATCTTCACCCAACCAGACATTTTTTGTCATCCATTCAGCCATTTCTTCTATTTCAACTCAATCATTTTTTTTTTTTTTTTTGCCTCATCTTTTCACTTAGTATCTAGTCCATGCATTATTATCTAACATAACACACTGAATTCAAATAGCAGAAGCCAAAACACTACGGTCAATCCTTTGCAGAGGACTTTGGCCAAATGCCAACAGTTCCAGAGGTTAACTTGCAATAAGAAGCTACAACACCTGGATAAATGCACACTTGAGACATAGTTTCAGCGCACTCCTAAGCTGCCAGTATGTCAGTTCAGTGAGCATCTACCTAAAGTTATCATTTTTTAAGTTTTCTTTTACATTTTTGGTAACCAAAAACTTAAAAGGAAACAAAAGATCATCATTCAATTACTTTCTCACTGAATTGGGAAGGGTTGTAAACTGTTGGAATCCTGTTTTTTTTCAGGCAGAATTGTTATCTGGGTGGTGGGGGGTATAGAACAGGGGTTGGATACCTGGACTATAACCCAGGCCATGGGACCAAATTACAGGCTGGTTAACACTAAGCCCAATGGTGACTGGTATAAGATGACTGAAATGGAAGTGCTACTGTTTAATTTTAACTGAAGTGGCTCCTCTCAAAACCTGACACTGTGTGCTTGTCTTGCCTATGCAAAATTTTCACCATTAGACCAAACAATGATTCATTCCCTTAAAATGGTATGATGTCTTAAAATTGAAAGCCACTGGATTTTCAAATAAGTACTGCTGATATATAATCTCTTGAACATAAGACCCATTCACGATTCTATTCGGCAAGAACTAGCATATCTTTCCCATGTTTTAACCACAAAAGAATGTACTTGGAAGGTCCAAATATCAGACTCATGTCTCTCCTGAGTAGCCAATCTATCCATCATGGGTACACTATAGTGAAGAGTAGGAATAAAATGCAGTAGGTTTTAGTAGCAAAACATAGGCAGAAAGTATCTAGAAATTATTATCCATGGTAACAGGGATATCAGGTACACAATGAGGTTATATGCCTGCGAAAGGATGTCACTATGGTAGCACTAATAAGTGCTTTTTCTTTCTAGATACGTAACAAAATAAACACTGAGACAGGATTGTACGCAAGATATTGAGTACATTGCATCCTTTATTAGGTTCATGAAAAGATGTTGCCATTTGGTTAATCATTTTCTAACAAATAAATTATCCAACATAACAAGTCATAAGAAACAGATGGTATATAACCTGGAAGAAAGAATGAACATACCTGTATTCATTTGCTAAACTTTTTCTTATTAGGAGAATTGAAGACACGAAGTACATTCCCATAATTTCAGAGAGAAAAAGGACAACATTGCTTGATGATCCACTGCCAACTCTAGAAACTGCAAAGAAGAACTGCACCAAGAAAAAATTTTCAGCTGCCAGATACACAATATTCTGAAAACAGACAGCTTTTCTTTGTGCTCTAACCCTTTTTTCTTCAATGAGCTGAAGATTTTCATTGAAACAGAAGGCGGAGCTATTATACAAAAATGTTACTGCAATGCCTTGGGAAAAAAGGTTTATGCCAATGTCATTGAAATGTAAACCACCACCCTTCATGAAGTGTGGTTATACAACAATAATAATAGTAGTGATGGTAACAGTGGAAGAACAGCAATAACAACGTTAACAATAACAAATTTTAACTAGGAAAGCAGCAGAAGCAACTATAGCAACTGGAAAATCTTCTGAGGTACCATTAGATTTAAAAGATGAATATGTCATCTCATGACTAGAAGAAATCCATGTCAATTAGTGAATAAGCCATATCATTTAAATGTCAGTTGCTTCTGAGCTTATTAGTTCTGAGCCCTAAAATTTGTCTGCTGAACCCATAATGTTGATTGGAAAAGATGAGAGACCTACCCTGATTATATTAAATCAAATGAAAATTGCAGATGTAACTACAGACAGCTTCTTGAAGTTAATAGAAACACGACTAAAATTAAACGCCTCCATCTTTCCCCATTCTCACAATCTCCAAGCAGAAAAGGGCAAGATTACCTTCATTAGATTCATCAAGAAACCCCGTACTGATATGACAATCAAGATTCCAATGAATAGAAGGGAGATATACTGCAGACCAAAAAAAGCACATAAGAGTAAGAAAACAGTCATCAGTTCTTACAATAGATATTTGGTAAAATTTGGAAAGCTGCAAGAACAAGTTTCAATCAATTGATAACCAAAGACAGCAAGAAATTATGTAATTTTTTTTAAGTCAGAAACAAATGCCAAAATTTTAAGTTCATATTAAAAAAAAGAGCCTTTTGAGGAACTACTATCCTTGTGGTATAACACTAACTTCAGGCCAAGAAACAATTAAAGATGCCATGAACTACTACAATGTGGCACCCTATTAGAACTTATAACAAGACATGCGATATGAAACTGGTAGATACGGTACAAGTTCAGAAACTGAAATGCAAACCTATATGGTATTTGTACTGAAACTACACACGGTATGACCCTTATCTTAAGTTAAAAAAATAATGTAGGCCAACTTTAAGTCAGATATTAATCCAAACCAAAGACATCTGTTTCTGGACTAAACAATTCAGAATTCCAACAATTCATATGCAAGATCTGATTTTTTTTTTTTATTCCTATTGACAACTCTAGAGTACAAAGAAAGCCAATAACTAAGAAGTTAACGCAAAATGAGTTGAATTCACAAAAGGAGACACTCAAAGTACTAGGAAATAGAAAACTTAAAACATATGGTCCACAAGGAGTTTGGTGGGATGGCAATTTCTCAGCAACAAGGGTTGTTGGCATTTATCAGAACAATGCTTGATTATCCATTGTATAGTTGACCAAATTACATAGCAGACAATCTAAAGGTAAAATCAGCTCTACTTCAGCAGATATTAACATAATCTTTCTAAATTCAAGACACATGAGCTAACAAAACTCACCATCTTTTCCTGAATAAAAACTTTCAAATCTTCAGTCATATATGAATATGTATGTCATGTTTGGTTGGATGGAGTGGTTTTTCCTTGGTCAAACTATAAAAATTAGGTAAATTAGATAGAGGGCATAGATAATGTGGCATGGCTATTCCATGCTTGCATCAATTTTCTTCTAATGAGTTGGAAGAAGGAAGGAGCAGCTATAACCTAGTGGGAGGCATTATTAGTTATTCCCTCCTCATTCCAACTTATTAGAAGAAAATTGATGCAAGCTTGGAATAGGCATTCCTAACTTGCCATATTCTCCATCAAATTTACCTAATTCTTATGATAGGGATAACCATTCCATCAATCAAACATACTGGTAAAGAAATAGAAGATTTTGGGTATTAACAGCATTAATTGGAAAGTATACATGCTAATTCAATATTTCCATAGAAACAAGCTATTTTGAGAGAATTAAAAATGAATCATGGAACAAAAGTTTGATATCTTTTTATAAGGACAAACAGAAAATTCATATAATGTAGATTGACTTATTCCACTACAACCACAGTATACGTGATTTAGATAAATATTTTTTGAAGCATAAATATAGCTTCTTCTTCTTCTTTTTAATCCAAGAAGCATTATATAGTTGGTGGACCACATTTTGGATTTTTTCTGAAGTTGATAAACTCTAGCTGAAATCACAGTGAAAGTATAACTTTCAAAGCTTAATCAACCATATAAAAGATGGGAAAGTGATCAATGCATTATAAGAAGAAAAAGGGCATAGGAATGATAATAGAATACAGATTTTTTTTCTTATGAAAATTAATTTGGAAGTGAAATATAAATCTTACAACCTTGGGTAGTCTAAGAGAGATCTATACCCAACTACTTCCAACTACTTGCGGAACAGGATAGCTAGGCTTTGTCTAACCTGTGATAGCAATGCAGCATCTATCCCTATATCAAAGAACTGCAACAAAATGGTAATTGACATTGTCACAGGATCAACTGAACCAGCCTGTCAAAGAAAGAGATCATTAAGGGTATCAATATTGTAATACAACTAAAAAAACTATAAAATTGAGAGAACAAGAGCAGAGATTAGTGAACACAATTAGTTACCTCCTTGAAAACAACACTTTGCAAAGACTGCAGCACAGAACAACAGGTTGGTCAGGCACTTTAATTTTTCATGATTAAAATACTGATAAAAAAAAGACAAGTGAACACTAACTTAAAGATGTCCGCCAAAAAAAAAAAAAAAACTAACATCAGAATGGAATGAACAACCTCCTGAAAACCCTGTACACCTCATATTAGAAACAAAAGGAGCACCACAATCTCAAATTCTTCAATCAAGGGATCTTTAATTCATTAAGAAATCAAATCAAACTCCATCAGGTTTATTGTCTAGACATATTTCCTTAAATCTGTTCTACATCATGAGGTAGGATCCATTTTCCAGGGAATGAATAGTTTTTTCCAATCTCAATGACCATAACCTCCGTCAGGTTTATTTTTCTATAGAGATCTTATCTTTGTGACCGTCACATTTTCTGTCCATGTTGAAATAAATTATGCAATAACTAAAACAAAAAAACACAAAACTACTTTCACACATACCTTAATCATTTTATAAACACAATACACAGAACCTGCATAACCAAGCAAATTCTGCATATGACCCCTCCATGTTCGAGAATATGCAGCAGCCTCCTGTGAAATTTAAGAAAAATTTAGTAATTTGTATAAGAATACATTCTAAAAGAAAATAGAAAGAGAAAATTAAACACAAATAATCACTACAGCAATCCACATAAATGGTTGTGCAATCAAACATGTTAAAAGTATTACCTTTCATATAACAAAGGCATATATACACTTGGACATTAGGTATTGCTATAAGGAATAGCTAAATTCAGCCCTGTAAATTTTATAATCTTAAAAGTAAACCTTAGCTTGGCGCATCTCATAGATATCCAGGAAAAGCTGCTTTGAAAGCTCCTCTAAAGCTTGAACCTCAGCTTCCATGCTTTTAATATCTTCAAAGGCAACAAAAACAGAAACACCAATGAGGAGCCATGAGGAGGATTTGACAAGATCAATTAATACATATTAAATTGGAAATACACTGTAAGCTTTAAAATATAGAAGCCTAAATTTAGATAATGCTTATAAAACAGAATGCCCTCTTTGACAAATCCAAAGAACTGACCTTGGATGGAACAGACAAGAGTTACATGTGAATTTATTTAAAGAACATGAATTAAAAGACATCAAGAAAAAGTCCTAGGCCTAAGTTTTTCTGTGATTATACCTTCTTACAAGAGTATCATTTATAGGAATTATGCTGGCAAGGAAACAGAACTTACCTTGCTCCTTTTGGTCATCTTGCACAGAACGCACTACTGTTCCAACTATCCTTTTAAACAAAGATCTGGTTGTTGAATTCTGGAAGAAGCAAATTTAGTTAGCCACAAAAGATCTGGCTGTTGAGTTCTCAAAGATGCAACTGTCTGTAGACAATGAATGTATATATACACATAAAAGTACAACATGATGTTGATATTAGGCACCATGGTCTAAAGAACTCAAAGAATGTTCAAAGGACACCTATATTGACAATATTTAAAATCACTAACAAATTTAAATAGGGCAGAATAATCAATTCCTTTACGTATGAAGTCAACCAGACCTCATGAATCATTTGTACCCATTTACACTTTAACTGTTGTAAAAAAAGACCTCAATCAAAAATATTGCAGCAATTTTAACACAATAGGAAACAGATAAAGTTGGCAAACCTCTTCCAATCCTTGGATTCGCTCCATCTCCATTTGAGAAAGAATTATTTTCTTTTTCTTTGCAATACAAGTCTCAATTGATTGCATTAGTTGTCTTTCCAATGCTTTAATCTCAGATTCATCAATTTCTCTGCCACATGTACATGCACAAATGTAAGAAATCAAAATTGTCCAGCTATGAGAAATAACAAACTGAAATTAAGTGTCCCAGAAGGTCTAACTATCTCCTGTTCAGTGAAAGCCATTAAAATATCAGCAAATTTAGCTGTCAACACAAAATCCTCTTCTTTCAATTTTGTAATACAACAACTAAGATATGCTTCCAGCTTTACAGTTAACCCAGGAAAAAGAAAAAGAGAGTAGTCAAAATGGCTGAAGAATTACTTTATAGTTCACCAAGTCATTTATATACTCTACTTGTTGTTTTCTGTACACATTCGATTTTACAGACTATCACGAGAAATTTTATGCTTACAAAATAAGAAGTCAAAACAATCATTATGTTATGGTCTAGAAATGTATATAACCAGTGCACACTGCAAAACAAGCTTGTGCAATCTTGTCAATGATATTTTTATTTTTTTTATTTTATGAAGTGATTTTATTGAAACTGATTAGATAAGGATAAGAACAAAAGGATTTAGTAGGTGAATTTTTAAGAGTCCAGAGGAAAACTTTCAAAAGGTACTTTTGCTTCTAAGCTCAACATTCCTTGTACTCATCCTCATTTATATTAACGTTCAACAAGTAACAAAAGGTAAGTATCCGACTTCAAGGAGTTCAATGTTTATATTAACACAAGGTGACCTAGAACAAAGAAAGGGATATTGGATAATTTGAGGAAAGAGGTAAAGATGAGAAGAGAACAAAGAAATTGGGGATTTTGGGAAGATAATTTCAATTAATCATATACCCTGCAGAACCCGAATACAAACCAACATTTATATAGAGATAATGGAGAACCCTAATAAGACTTAAATCCCTAATTTGACTACTAATGTATAATAGGAATCTTTATCAAAAGATAGAAAATCCTAATTAATATAAACTACAAGTAAATGTTACAATTCAAATACCATAAGTTTATAATCATAATAGAATCCATAATATATATGATTTACATCCTTATCTGCATCACAAGAACACCATGCTATATCTATCCTGCAAAAAAAGAAGCTTGGCTAAGTATGTTCACAAAGCATTTTACAGGCACCATCTGGAGTTCAAGAAAAAACCTTGTTTCACTATTCTGATTTACCAAAAAAAAAAAAAAAACCTCTAAAAGGCAGCCTTATAGTGATCAAAAAACTGCAATATTGCCCCACCAAAAACCCTAAATCCCATTTAAATTACAACACCTACAACTACCAGAACTGAACCTAGTTGCTGCATCCAAATTCCAGCAACTAAACCCTTTAATATCAGCAATCATTTTTCACTAAATATTTATCCAAAGAACCTTTTTTTTTATTTTTTTATCTAACTCTAGACTTCCTCTCATGCATTTAAACCAAACTATAACACCCCTTGTCTAGACAACCACAAAAGATTGTTACAATCTCTCTATGTCATTGCCTGAAATGAAATCAAAGATACCTCCATCCCACATAAAAAAAAAAAAGAGCATCTGTGGACAAGAAGAGCATTTCAACCTACATTCTTACTTCTGATTCTTACCCCAATTCAACATGACACTAATTAAGTTGTCTTCAAAAGTTCCAAGCACCTTTGGATTAGACCTAGATCTTAAGTAGAGAAGATTGTGATACCACAATCCCAAATCAAAAAGAATTATAATTGTGAGTGGTACATAACTAAAAACTCGAGCTTGAATTTTTGAGGGCTAGGTGGATCTAGCCCAAGTAGCTGTTAGGCCAGTGAAGGACTTTGCCTGAGTCACTAAATTTTGACTGTCAACACCTTTGATATGTAATACAAAAATATGAACAATTTCACTATTTTCTTGAAACATGCTATCTTTAAACAACTGGCTTCATGAGCAACACACATATTAGCAAAGGAGAAGAATCTAAAGTTGAACCAAAAATTATGTTAAAATCAAAATCTTCCTAACACAATCACAAAATGTAGCAGAAATGTTAGGAAAACAATAATAAAAAAGGTAGATGACAATTAGACAAAAGAGAAGTAAACTAGATTTAGAATAATAATAATAATAATAATAACAATAATTCTCCTATATCCAAAATCCAAAAGAACAGTAAGTCTCAAGACCTGATGAAAAGTGATAAATAACTGTATGGCAAATTTACAGCTCCAAATCCAGATAGAACAGCCATGACAGTTACTCCAATAACCCCAATTCTACTAACCAACTGAGGCATGCTGAAAAACCCTGAGAAAGAAAAGACAGGAGATACTAATTAGAAAGGCTATATTTTTACATACTCACGTCAAACATGCAAATTTAACATCATAGATCTTATGTTTAAGGTGCAGTAATATGTTTAAGGTGCAGTAACAGGCATATATTAGGACAGGTTCTCAATAACTTCCTCATTCATAGTTGGATTGTTATAGGAACTTGGGACTATTGAGGCAGTAAGGTAAGTATATTAAATAGTGTAACAAGCCATAACCATAATCCCAATATCTAGATTACTAAAAACTTGAAACACAGTCCCTATCTTATCCTTCTAGGAATAAATGCAAAATCCCTGTACTTTGACCACAAATACAATGCAAGCCATCAAACTTTTACTTTCAGCAACAACTGAAACCCATCCAAGAAAGCCTCAACTTTAAGTCTAACAAAAACATTTGTAGTTGGCCAAACAAAATCATTTGTGTATACTGCTAATTGCAGTGACCATCATTGTCACTAGAGAAAACAGGAGAATAAACAAAAAATTTAGGTCAATAACTTGTTCTTGTCACTCCAGATCCACAACATTAGCTCAATGACTGTAGTAACTAGTTATCAAGTTACAATTCCATTTTGTATTACTCCCTGGATCATGACTTGATTGTATTGTTTTGAAAAAAGTAAAGGGACTTCATTGTTGCCAGCAAAGGGATTGCATTGCATTTTTGCCCAAAGTAAAAAACAAACATTGTGCTTGGCCCTGTTGTTTTAACAACTTAAATGACGTATATAAGTCTTCTCTAACACTAAAAGCCAGATATGCATTGAAATTATAAAAATTAGGCATCAAGCAAAAGAAGAGGTAAGATTGAAACCAAGTGCAATTAGGAGATAGGAGGAGATCTGCTACAATCTCAGCCGTAGTACAAAACTAACACTGTGCTTGGACCTGTTTTTAAACAAACTCAATGCCCCAAAATTTTTCTCTAACATTAAAGGCCTATTTGGTTAGAGCAGGATTGTTTTCCCTGAAAGCCAGATGTAAAGGAAACCAGAAATTGAAATTGGGTTTTTCTAACCTTAAGGGTGTAATTAGTACACTTTTTAGTCATTAAGTCTTATAGGAAAATAAAGAAGTTGATATTTAAATTATCTCCTATGCCATGTGTATTATTTTAACTGATTAGTTGATAAAATTAAAGTCAACCTTTTTTTCTGTGTAATTTAATGACTAAAAGGTGCAATAATTGCACCCTTAACCGGTGCCCTAAGGGCACATGTTAGGAAAACACATTGAATTATAAAATTCAGGCATTTTGCGAAAAAAAAAAAAGGTAAGCTGATTTGAAACAAGTCCAATTAGAAGAAAGAAGGAGATCTGCCTAAAAAAGTTAACAATATGTTTCCATATGAGGGAGATGAAACTAAGATCTAAGCAAAATGTAACTTGAAACCTTTATCAGCTGAGGGCATAGGAAAGTGAATGCCCATGCGCCAAAAAGCATAGAGAAATGCTAACAAGAATAAGATGGCTCCCAATGCAGCCCGCTCCTTCCTCACACCTGAGATGAAAAAAACATCAGAAATGAGAACAACAAAAATATAGGCAATCAAGAAACAGCCTATTTGTTAGTGTAGCAATTTCTTCTTTAAAAGATAGCTTAAAATTCAGCTACCTGCATGTTATGCTTTACAATCCTTCCTTATACTTGCATTAGAAAATGTATAAGCAAGCAAGGGATTAACATATGGGCAAAATAATAAATTCAACCAGGCAAAGAGATGTAAGGTTCATTCATACAACTTTTAGGCAAGATAAATAATATATAAATTA